GGTGTTAGGCAAACAAGATTTAGCTTCCTAATGTCAGTGTTTACAGCACTAAAGAGAAAGTGCCATTACATTTTAAAATAGCTAATTTGGATTAAGAGTTGTGATAGTTTAATCCAGCTTCCTTTCTAAAAGTCAGTTACATGCATTCACCGAAAAACTGAAGATCCTTTCTAATTAAAAACAGAGACACCAGTATTAATTCAAATAAACAGAAGTACAAGTATGTGAATCCTGTTGTTTACATAAGGGGATACACAGGCTTGCTTTTCTTCCGTAGTGGAACAATAAAGCTAAGGTACTAAAAGTACAAAGCATGACATGTATGCAGGGGTGTTTTCTGTTCCCCCCCCCAAAAAAAACGGAATTCCATAAGAAACATTAATTATMAATAATTGGCATGATACAAATGCTTTATCTATGTTCTCTTGGGAACAAATTCTGTGTGCAGGCCCAATGATACAAATTCATCTTAATGTGTGACTTACAAAAGAGAAACAGATTTTAATTTTGTACTTATCACTAAAGCATAATGTCCTACAGATAACATAGTTCCGGTGTTTCCCTTCTGTGTCAGTCCTTTAAGGTGTAAGTGGAAGGATTTTGTTATCATGGTCAAGGTGACAAATTTTCCTTAGACCTTGCAATTTCTGTAGATCACTGACCTTGCCCAAGAGACCAAGATTTGCAACCATGTAACTACCTCCTGATAGACCCACCATGCAGATTTCCAGGAAAGCTTATGCTGGGAGTTAAAACCTTTAGCTGGAATACTACTAGTTTATATTGTAAATAAACACTGGTGCACAATTGTCCAATGTCTTGACCCCTTTAAATAAAAATTGTGCTTGCAGGTTTTTGGTTTTTTTTTTCAAAAAAATTGTCTGTTTCCTTGAGCTCTTATTGTGATAATAAAGATATCTTGTTTTTCTACTGTAGTACACAAAGAGGCTGGTCCTTTGCAAGTGGGTATAGTTATATTACACTTCTGAAAACTGAGCTCAAAAAGCTTTAACTCTCAAGGTGTAAATGCAATGGAGTGCAGAACAAGCTTGTGCTGACAAATCACAGGCATGCTGCATTACACTTGAGTGATGGCTTTAAAGGAGTTGAAGGAAACTAATCAGCTTATAATAGTCGCAAATTCCCAGGCTGAACCTTTTGGAGATTTTGTTCTTTTTCATTATATTTTCTTGTGATTTTGAATTAGTCAATATTTTTTAAAGTTATGATTACAATGACCTATCCAAGAAATATCAAAGATGCACAACTAGAGCAAATAGAAGTATTCATTTTTTAGTGACTCCTGTTTCATTTGGTATCTAAAATGTTATTGCTTCTAACTTTCAATTTTTCATGAATATATAGTGTTAAACAGTATGACAATTAATATCCCTCTTTTCAATTCAAAGGCATTTAAATAAATGTAGTGGTTGCATATTGTCCTAGAAACATTTAAATATTTTTGAGATTATCAGTTAGTYACTAGGCCAAAAGATAATTTGTAATGCAAACACTTTTTAAAGACCACTTAGTCAGCAATAACTGAAGCCAATGCCCCTGGCTTTAGRCATATGCTAGGATGTGCTGGAATTCTGAAGGTGAAGGAGGTTTTGTTTTGTTGCCACCACGGGGACAGTCAGTGCYGGACAAGCCAAGGCCTTGCACTGCAGTTGCTGTAGTTCCTCTGCATTCCACATAGCGCAGGAACAAACAAAGTGCAACAGCACAGAACTCCTTCCTTGGAGAGCTTGGTCAGTGCTGTTCACAAGGGGATGGAGCACGTTTTGGAGTACTTGATGCCATTAGAAGCAATGGGGACCAGCAGTCCCTGTGCTGAAGCTTYACCATTTCCCTGGCAAAGGCAAAGAGCAAAGACAGCGCAGCTCCTGAGCACGTTTAATGTCATTGTAGATCTTTGTGGCAGGGGCCTCATGTCTACATTACTYTCCTGTATGGATGCTAAGGACTGATTGCTTTCTAAATTAATTTCTTGTACCCATTTTTGTTTTAGGATTTTATATAATAATCTGTCTAGTATGTATTTTCCTGAATGCAGATTATCTTGGTGGCAATGTTAACTCAAAGTAGTGTCAAACTGAAGTTACGTGACTGTAGTCCATTTGTCAGTCAGGTTTGCCCAGATTAGTAGAGCAGCACATCATGTTTGCATTTTTCTTTATACCAAGGTGTTTAATGAGATAAGGACTGCTTTAGGCCATATAGAATCTACAGATGTAATTTTTTCTTGTTTCACAGACTTTTCTATGCATTAGTCGTGAAACGGAAGACATTACAGTTCAAACTGTGAATACACTGGTAAAGTTAATGCTGCTCATTTTCCTGTTTTGGTGTAGCACTGATGCAGAGATACCTGCTCTGTGTTGTGCCTACTATCACYGTGACATTTTCATGCTGGCAGCTGGCAGCCCATCACCTGAGCACTGACTTTAGCCAGCAGTCCATGCTTTTTCTTTGGATTAACAGAGAGTAATCATTGCTTTCAACCTGTCTGAACCCATCCTTAGCTATGTCAACTGTAGCTAGACAGAGACATCTTCAGTATGTCAGTCCATGTGTCATCAAAACTGTTAAGAGAAATCTTTATCAGCATGTATGTGTTTATGTCTTGGACCATGCTGCATATTGCATCCTGTTTAATATGAACACAGTGAGCTGCTGATCTAGAATTAAGGAAGAATGAAATATGAAATTCAAAATCAGTGTTTCAAAATATTTTTTATCAAGTGGAGCATATTCATCATAAATTGATAATAGGAAATGTGTTCTAGAGAACTTATACATTTGCCAATTAACTTGAATGAAAATTCATTGAAAATGTTTACTTGAAAAATTTGACAGTGTGTATTAGAATCACTTTTAAATTATCTTGAAAATGAGAAGGTACAGGCTTTTCAGACTTTTTGTGTAACCCCATATAAAAATGGAGTAATGGTAGTTTTTAATAGAAAGTTGATTCCTTGAAAAAAAAGAAAATACTCTAGTTGGAGAATTTGAAACAGAATTAGTCTCTGTCCAAATGAGAGACATCTTAAGTGCAGCTACAGTATATGGCTTAAGTATTGATCAGAGTAAAATATGATTATCTGAYGGAAAAACGCTTAATGTGAATCTTCTTCATACTACGAGTTATACAGCAGTCTGTTCACCAGGTATGTTTTCAGATAGGAAAAGAATGGAGCAAGTGTCACTTTTCTTGCAAATACCTCTTTGTGTTTACATCATTTGTGCTGAGCAGAAGGAAGGGAAGTGTAATTGAGGGAGCAAAAGCAAGAGGGAAAATTGAACACATGAACGAGTGGGATACATCTTTAGGGCAAGACAGAGGCCAGGAGAAAGGAAAACTGAGGAGCATGTCCCTGCTGTTTTCCAGTGTTGGGATGATAAAAACCAGCTGTATACCAGTTTTCAGCAGCTAACGTCCTTCAGCCTGGTATAAGTAACTTCAGTGAACTAATAAATTTATCTATAGAAGTTATATGTCTCTAATTATCTTCAACATCAGTATGACTTAATTTAAACATTGCTGACATTCAGAATAAAATAAATCTAATCTATGTAGAAACACACAGCTTGAGGATTCAACACATATTAACTCCACTTTCTATTTATAGCATAGTATGTTACTGTTTCTAAACATAAACTTAGGGGTATAAATTTCAAAATAAATTTATAATCAGAATTAATTTTTAGTGCAACAGAGCAAATATATAGTTTTTTGCAATATGTTGGCACACATTTCTAAATCTTAAACTTTAGGCTTAACAAGCCAAATTTTAGCTTTTGAGGAGCTATAATGTAGGTTTGAATTTTAAATTCTTTTGCATTTCAAACTGCTGACTTATGGTTAATCTTCATGTAATTATTGGTCAATGATAATCACAATGTGGTAAGTTATATAGCAATGGAAGTCTTGAAGAGTAGGTTTTTTTTTTATTTTGGCAGAGAAGTGACTCRCTATTTCTACTTACTGCTGGGGCCAAAGAATAAAGTTTGTTAAGGGTTGAATAGGCCARATAGATAATGCTACTACTGTTTTCAGCAGATGCTAATGCAGTGTTTTATTTTGCACATGTATTAATCTTTGCTGCCTCAGTACAGAGTGGTGAGGGTAACTCTGTCGGTCCTAAAGGTTAATTTCATTCTTTTTTAAGGCATGCCATTATTCTGTTAACAGTAATTGCTCTTTTTTTGAATGATTAATTTGATCATATGAACTGTTTCTAATTATGTTGGTGACTGGCAATTTCCTGTACTGAGAAATTGTAGCTGTGATCATATCCTATTTATTCAGTAAACATGCCTGGAGAAAAATGCTCACTGACAGGCATTTTCAGAAATATCCACTAATTTAAAGAACTGTTTGGAGACTTTATATAAGATGCTTAGCACTTGTTTTACATTGGTGTTGAGTATGTGCAAATGTACTTGACAAATGAGGGCTGAAACAACTGGATGTGAGGCACAGGATGAGGAGRTTTGCGAATGCAGGCATATCTGCTAAATTATCACCTGTGCTGTCACTGCTGTGAAAACTGAAAGGAATGGGATGTGTTTCTTGTGCATTTTACAGTGTTCTTACACTCGAGCTGGATCTGCTCACTGCTGTAAGCTCTGTTTGCTCGCTTCAGTTATTGTTAATGAGCCAGAGCGTGCGCTGTGCCAGTCAGCGCAGCASTAGAGACTCCTGCTTGGTGAGSCAGCCCTGGCAGGGAGCAGAGGGCTGCTGGGCTGCCTGCAGGAGTCACACTGTGCTCCACTGTCAGCAGCTCAACMCTACACGCAGCACTGACCCCRCRGAGGCAGTACTGGCTCCAGTGCCAAATCTGCATCCAGTTTACAAACAGCAGAAAAACACTGGGTCTGTCTCAGCTGCATTTACAGCAGCTGAGATAAACTGTAATTCAAATGAAGAATGTACTCCGCAGAGAAGAGGTGCTGGGCTTGACCATGTGTAGGACACTGGCTACATGAAGACTCACCCACTGTCTGCTGTCTCAGGCGGAAGCTGGGCATGGTTGTAGTACCGCTGTGCTAAGAATAGCATMATTCCCATCAAGCCACTGGGTGTTGAACACTCCTTTTGCAATTGCTACAGCAACTGGCCATGTAGTATTTGCTGAAGGGCTGATGTTATGTGCATCTTCCGGGTCCGAGCTGGAATAAAGCAGGAATAAACTGTTTGCACTGGTTCCACAGAAGATGATARGCACTTAAATGGCATTCAGAATCAAGGAGTCTGTGATTCAAAGCTCCAACTTCTGTCTCACCTCAGAAGTAYTTCAGAGGGCCCAGAAGAGATGCTTTTCCCTGTTACTAAAAGTACACCACTGATARCATCACCAGGAGATGCAGTACCAGGATCCTGAAACTGAGCATTCTCTCTGGTAATCTGTCATTCAAAGCCTTCAAAGGAATGCATTCAAGGCCTTCAAAGTGCAACAAAGTGCTTTGTCACAGCATTTCAATTTAAATGCACGTTCTAGATGTATTCCTTACTTCACYTACACTTGCAAAACTGTTATATTTGACTTATATTTGGAATCACTCAATCACATGAGTCTTCTCTGCWGCCCCAATTCTTAATGTTCTAATAYAGCTGTAATGCCCAGTGCCTCCAGGGACTCTGGTYTAGCCCACTGTAGATGTGCAGGAACAAAGAGCTACAAGCCTTTTTATGTGCTCCCTGATTTGCCTGTAACCTGCCCTCGAGGATTTTTACAGGCAGGCAGCCTGTAGGCCTAATAGGGTATGTCCCTCACAGTAAATTAAAGAACTTCATCAGATGTTCACTGTTTCATTAGAGTGGGACCTGTGATCCCTGCCCATTGCACACACGCTGCCTCTCATTGTGCATATTGCCTTTCCTGATTACCTTTGCCACCTCTAAGGTTGTGAATCAGCTCAGGCACTGCTGCAGTTCTCAGCCTGGCGTGCAAAGGCAAACCAGCTCCCTTCATGAAAGGATCACAAGTTCTGCTTTAGTGTTTTGAGCCAAAGAGCTTCTACTGCTGAGCTATAATCCATTGTCTGCCTCCATCTGCAKGGTGCCATCCTAATAAATGATGAGGGGTGCTCTCAGAATTTACCACTTTGCTGACTGTACAAACAGCAAATAGAAATCTGAAGGATGCTTTGGACATGCTTTTTTAAAATGCAATACAAACACAGTGAATGGGCCTCTTCAGAAATCTATGGATATGCCCACCCTGGGATACTTGCTGGGCCTAGCTGATTCAGGAAAGAACATAAAGAAGTCATTGATTCAATATGAAACATTTACCCAGGAGTTGTATTTGAATAGCTCAGGTCTCAGAATGAAATTCCATTTTGATAATTGTCAATATTCATAAAAAAWTTACTGTGGCTTCTGAGAATTAATTTCTAGGTTGGTTTAAATAACCAGTTATCATATTTCCTTTTCTTTTCATGGTATTGTAGGCAAATTAATTGTATGTWAAGTCTTGAATAATTTAAAATATTTAATTTATGACCCAACTATACTTGCCTTTTAAAAGTCCAAAGGGCAGAGGCCTAAGCCTTACACATTCATATGGCACCCACCCAGGAGCCYTCAGAATGTGGGTGTCCTGTAAACAACACTGAAATACAAATGTTAAATACCTTCTGAAGGTAAGAGCCATGTTTTTTGCAAACCTTTTGCACATTCATGTATGTGCCAGGCAGGCAAGCACTCTGGAGTTTGAAAGATGACCTCCTTTTGAACTATAAGCATCCCATCTCAGTATGATTCCTAAGGAGAAAATCTTGTTCCAAGCATTTTGGATTTATGYAGACCCTGTGGAGTTCACTGGTGGGTTTATTTGGCAGGTGGGCCTTATTAACCTGCCAGCAAGGGACTGCTTGACCTGCTTAGGTTTGTAGAGCTTGTAAATAAAGATTCTGTCAGGGAAGAGAGATTCTCTTGTGCTTCAGACTATTTATATCTCTTCTAACTGTGGCTGTTAAAGCTTATAAAGAAACAGAAGGTCTGGGATGTGAGACAGAAAACCCTGAGGGAGTTTTACGTGTTGTATTTGGATTGCTGTGTTAATATCCTAAAATAAACACAGCATGCCAAAAAATGGGGAATATTTTTATTGTAATTATTATTAACTCAAAGACATAATTTATTGGTTATTGAATGGAGCATGGCTGAGCTTGGCTGCAGAGGACAATAAAATAACCTCTTAATTTAACACTAGCAGCTATTGGCAATCAATGGGAGCCAGACATTTAATCAGCTTCATTTCCCTCTTTTTTTGTAGCTTTTTTTTCTTCTTTTTTTTTTTTTGCATTGTTCTCAAGTTTAATAATTACTAGTATTAACATTTTTTACAGCTCAGATTAATAATGAATACAATAAGTTTACAATAAATTGTAATCACAATAAAACTATGACAGACTCTCCATCAACTGAATTATTATAATTGGACAGAAATATTCTATTGAAAGGGATGTTGTATTACAGATCAAAAAAAAATCCCTTCAAGAAGTCTTTTCATCTGTCTAGTGCAAGTCCTTTCTAACTCTGCAACATGTAATTTTAATAGGTGTACCATATTCAATTAAAGGACTTTATGTTATTTATATTACTTATAATGTAAGAAAATGTGTCTCTCTTACTCAGAAGCTACCAGTTTGGATTAACTGAATAATCTTTTTGAGAAAGATTTCCTTCTGCTTCAGCAGACCTACTCAGACACCCAAGTGCTACTGCAGATCAAATGACACCGGGTCCAGTGTCTGCCAGAGTTGAGATTTTGAGTGTGTATTCCTTGTTCATCCATTTGAAAGTCAGTTGTGGAATATTTCTCCCTTCTGTCCTGTATGGACTCCATAAATGTTTTTTGACTTTAGTCAGGTTGGACTGATCTGCTACTTAGGCATTCTAGGGATATTGTAAAATATTAGCAGTCACCAGTTTACAGAGAATCTGTTGAATTTACAATTACAAATACACTGTCTGCAAAAGTATTTCACTCAAGAGCTGCTGCTGTGGCCCAGGAGAACTTGCTGTTGGGGAAGAAAAAGTAAGGTATTACTGCAGATGCACACTGAGTGGAGAATGGCTTCCAGATTATTCCAGGCATCAAAACTTTACAAGTGGGAGCCACTCYGGAGAAATACGAAGACGGGCCTTTTCTTCTTTTGTTCCACCTCCTTGTCAGTGGGCATCTCTTTTATGAGCTGGATGCCCTGGCTCCCAGCCCTGCTGTGATGTGGGACTGGTAAACTGCTGTGCACCTGTTCCAGGGGGATTAGCCACTGGTGACAGCCCATACCCAGAATTTCCTCCACAGATGGTATTACCCTTCAGCAAGTGAGTCAGAACCATTTGACTTGGAGCTTTTTATAGTTGTTGTTGAGGGTAATGATAATCATCCTAATAAAGCAGTTCTTAATCTCTCATACTGAATAGTTTGCCGTTGGCTGAAGAAGATACCAAGCTGCCCTTCACTCCCATCCCTATCAGCTTTACCAGCACTGGCCAAACACTGTTAARCTTTTACAATCATCTGTCATTACACTGGGAAGTGAGTGTTTTCTGGTGGATGAGATACCAGGCTGAGGCCAGAATTGACTCCACTAATTAATTCACCATGGGGAAATCTAAGACTATATTACTTCCTCTGCTGTTTTGATTTTCCTAACGATAAATACATTCATTTGAGAATTCAATAAACAGCTCATGCTGAAAATCAAGTATGCCAGCATTGGTTTGCGGAACTGGGCTCTATGTTAAGTTTTCTAGTCCAAAGAATGAAATATCACCTATATTATATTCCTACATGTTGAGATGCACCATATACCACTATGATGCTAATTGATTACAGAAATAATATTCATGGTTTTTTTTTCCTCTTTTGTCTCCTGCTCACAAGCCTTTATGTCATTCTAGTAGAATACAGTTTTTGATACAAGTATTTTATTTTCTCATTTTGAAAACTGTCCATATAGTTCAGGTAATAAATGTCCTAAATATGATTCCACCCAAGTCTCTCTTTTTAATATTTTTCTCCTTTTTATCTCCTCCTTTTTCCCCTCCTTTTTTTTTCTCCCTTTCTGCAAATACATAAAAAGAATCAGACATTTCCTGCTATCCCTAAGCACAAATTTAGTTTCTGGTGTATCCGCTCTAACATATTCAGGAAAGAAGGAATAATCTTTCTGAGACTATAGTGCTTTTACACTAGTGGCTGCAGTAGCTGTAGCTCAGACTGTAGCTCCATATTGGAGGAATTGTGTAATGTTTGATCTTTGGAAGTAATAAGTAACGGGCCCATTCATAGGTGAGAATAATATGCATTGTGCAGCACAGTGAAGCAGACAAATGTTCCTGCATAGAGGAGACTACCATCTGCTAGAATTAAACAATTCATACCAGCCACAAAAATTCACTGAATAATGGTTTATTATTTTTTAAAAATAAACCCCTCCATTTCCTGGCTAGGATAAAGTAAGRCTGATTAGGTAGCACTTGTAAAAGGTGGATTTTATGAAAGAAGAGGATGTTAAGTGCTCTAGAGGAGAAGGATTTGCAGGAGAAGCATGATAAGATAAAGATTTGTCTAAAATAGGACTGGGAAATGGCTAAGCAGGAACTGTGAGCTGAGTGTGTGGGAGGGAAGGAGGCAAGCAATCATTTCACCAAACATTAAGRACAGAAAAAAAGAGGGCAGATTTCTATTTGTTAGACTGCTTAAAATTGACCTGTTGATTTCAGTTCCTGCAAGGCATTAAGACTATGTTCAGTGGCCTTTTAATGTACATTTATCAACCAGTTTGTGTGAATAGTTTCTATCTGCTCTTTCTTCTAACTACTCTCTTTACCTTGCCAAAACAATCCAAGAAGTGTCAACCAGCCTGATTCACTTTTCAATTCAACAAGATTCTACTTGATTAAGATCCAGCTGCTTTACTTTAAAGATATCAGCTGTTAATTTTATGCAGCACACTGTAAGGCTGCTCTAGCTTTCACCTGTGAGCAGTCAGGTCCAGCACACCCTCACCCCCCTGTAAGCCTTCTCCTGGCTCCCATGGCAGCGGATGTGAGGACAGAATAGCACAGAGTGGGTTACTGTCAGTGTGGGAGAGAAACAGCTGCCTGGTAAAGCAGCCTTTTGTGGAGTATATCGAGTTCTGGCCCTGTTTTC